CAGGCGATAACAGCAACAGAAGCACTCTGCCACACCAACACCCCACCCAACCCTTCCCGTGACCACCACCTTCCCCGAGTGTAACAGAGTCTGCGGTAGCTATTTGGCTCTGCACAGCCACCCTGACAGTGGAAGAGAATCATCCTCATCTGTGAGGGACCGCCAATGCATGAACGATTTCCCGTGGCTAACTGACCTAGACTACATCCCTGGACACTCTGGGAAATTTATCATGGCCAATCCATCTAACCTGCACACTTTTGGACTGACCACAACCACAGCTGGATGTGAACAAACCGTTACAGAATAAGAACAACAAAATGTGGAAACAACTGTGGCGTGCGAGACAGAGCCAATGTTTCAGGTCATTGACATATGGTAAGGACTGGCAAAAATTAGAAGTGGAACAGGTTTGTGAAGCTGTGGAACACAGAGGAGGAGTGGATAGAGTGAACAAGAAAATCTGTGATATCATGGAAGAACAGGAGTGATTCAACGATGTTTAAGGGTTGATGGTGCAAGGCAAAAACATTGGTGGCATCGGAAAAAGTAATGGCATAAAAGGTTGCCCTTGACAAGCTATAAAAGGGTCAAGGTCCAGGACAGAGAAAATGGAAGCAGTGGTTATGATCTGAAATTGCTGAACACAGTGTTGGGGATTGGATGGCTGGGGAGTGTCTAGATGGAAGATGAGATGCTGTTCCTCTAGCTTCTGTCAAACTTGATAAAGGGATTGGACTGAAGTTCCTATTGTAACGTGTTGAGCAGAGAACAATGCACACTGACAATTCAGGCGTGATGAGGCAGGATTTGCACTGTTATCTAAGATTAACAGTTACTGCCCTGAAGCTTCCTGGTAAAGGCAATGTACTGGCATGCTACACAAACAAGGAATGGTCCAGCTTTAATTCCTGTTTGCTCCAAATTAGATGATCCGAGCTGGGCTCCGAGTATAGTGCGTGATATGAAGTGAGGTAAGTAAATTATAACATTGGTCTCAGTGCCCTTAGATGAGGGAGGGAGAAACATCTCCTGACCTTTACAGACTGTTTGTATTCCAGACATCTTTATCGGCTTCATTGATGGCCTTCCCACCAACACAATGGGAACTCTTTGCTGATTATTTGCAGTTCTATTTCTGTCTCCTCCAATAAGAAAAAAGCCGACACAAGGATCTGCATAATTTCTAGTCTTGAGGTAGTAAATGACAGATAACATTTGCACCATCTCTGTGTCATTTAATCACTATCTCAAATTTAACCCTTGACCTCAGACAGTGTTGATGGTGCCATGTCAACAACTCCTTGGCTACAAGAACAGGGTAGGGAACGGGCAATCTGATCACCCAATGCCACTCCATTATCTAACGTGTCAAATCAAGAGCATAATAGAATATTCAAGGATTAGAGGATTAGATAGGGTGGACGGTGGGAGCCTTTTTCCTCGGATGGTGATGGCTAGCATGAGGGGACATAGCTTTAAATTGAGGGGTGATAGATATAGGACAGATGTCAGAGGTAGGTTCTTTACTCAGAGAGTAGTAAGGGCGTGGAATGCCCTGCCTGCAAAAATAGTAGACTCGCCAACTTTAAGGGCATTTAAATGGTCATTGGATAAACATATGGATGATAATGGAATAGTTTAGGTTAGATGGGCTTCAGATTGGTTTCACAGGTCGGCGCAACATCGAGGGCCGAAGGGCCTGTACTGCGCTGTAATGTTCTATGTTCTATGTTCTATGTTCAACACTCACAAGGTGGCACCATCACCTGCTGCCCCAGGGAGGGAGAGGAGAGACAATGTAGAAGGGGCACCATCACCAGCAAATGGCCATCCAACTCCCACACCATCCTGCCTGGAACATCGATCATCACTCCATCGTGGTCACTGGGTCAGAATTCCAGAATTGTGGAAGGGCCAGCACCAGAACAACTGAAATAAGGAGACCCACCAGCACCAACACCTTCTCAGGGAAAGTAATAATTGGAAATAGATACAGCATTGGCAGAATATCCCAAAACAACAGGATTGATTTCAAAACCTTAACGGAAGTGTTTATTATGTAGACATCAGGCTAGGGCAGAATCGAGATCAGCTGTTATAGCAACTGCAGTCAAATAGCCCACCAACAATTACCATCCAACCGCATAAACAAAGAATTATCAATTGGGAAGGTCATGGAGGATGCTGACACCCAGGGAACTGTATCCCAATGAGAAGCCAAACTGTTCCGGAGATTTTAGAGGGGTGAACGTTTGAGAGAATGACCACAGTTTTGGTCAATGGGATTAAACAGTTGGACTCACCAATGCAGTATATAGCAACTTTAGCAGAGTTTACAGCCTGCTGAGGATTTCTGGCCCCCAACGCATTACCCACGTGAAAAGTTGCAGCCACACTGTATCCTATAGCAATCTGGAGCAGAAATAAAGATAAACAGTGATGTCTACATTATTGTCTGTTTTCTTCTCCCCATTTCACCTGTTGCTGGAAGTTAGTGTTCTACCAATATATCTGTGGGTGGCGAGCTATTTTCCCAGGTGACCACTGTTGGTGTCTTGTACTAATTAGCACCTCGACCATGATGTGTCACTGGGTAAGGGCTGTTTGTGCAAATTGACCACCACCAATCACCCTTTAGCTTTGCTTTGTCTTGATCTATCTAGTGGTGACAGGATACACCATCATACGATTGTCTACAGAAGGGGCACTGTGCTGAGTTCATGAGAAGACTCACTGCATGATAGCAATAAGTATAATCACATTGGGTCAGGCATAATTAACAGGACTTTAGGGAGTTGGTATCTGCTCCCTCCGAAAGTTCAGGTAGAACTCCTCACCTCTAATGTGTGGGATCAATAGAATGGGTGGAGCCAATGCAACATGGTCATTGACCCCTTCATTATGTTATGCAACGGGTTGTCATATCACCAAACATATCAGAAAGGTCAGAGGTTTAGTCCTGTCTTTGGCTGAATTCCCCGGAGTTCAGTTTGCTAAGTGGTTAACTTTACAAATAACTTCATTAACCACCCTCCAACCCAGCTCCAGCTCCTCTCAGCACCCTCAGGGCTTCTGGAAGAAGTAAAAGAAAATCCGAGTTTCTTTTCTTCAATTCTAACTGTTAATAGAGAGTCCAAAGCATGGATGCCGATGGTGTGTAACATCCGTGTTGGCTGTTATTCTCTCCTTTCCTGTCGTCAAATTGTCTTCTGACACTCATCCTCCCTTGGCTTCAATGTGCTGTTAAGGTTAGCATAGTGGCTTAGTGGTTAGCACTGCTGCCTCACAGTGCCACGGGCCTGGGTTCGATCCCATCTTCGGGCGACTACCTGTGTAGAGTTTGTGCGTTCTCCCCGTGTCTGCGTGGGTTTCCTTCGGATGCTCCAGTTTCCTCCCACTGTCTGAAGATGTGCAGGCTAGATGGATTAACCATGGGGAATTCAGGGTGGGGGGGGAATGGGTTTGGGTGGGATGCTCTTCGGAGGATCAGTATCAACTCAGTGGGCTGAATGGCCTGCTTCCACACTGTAGGGATTCTAAATGGGGTACTCAAAAGCTGTTAACAAAATTTGAAACAGATTCATAACACACTTCAATAGCTGGGTCAACTGGTGGAAATGTCATGAGGTAAACAATTCATTTGCCACCAGGAGCATGAATTACTGAAGATACCCGTTCTACTTGTGTTTTTACAACTTATCTGCACGAGTGGGCAGAGGTAAGAAGTTTTACCCAATAACATTGTGTGGAGGTGGATGAATACAGCAGACCAGGCAGCATCAGAGGAGCAGGAAAGCTGGTGTTTTGGGTCTGGACCCAATAACATTGATGTTTCCTTATGACATCATGTTATGAGAAATGGCAAACTGAGCCAGGAAACACAAGATGGCAGACTGGGCAGACCTGTGGAAAATGCAGTTTTGTGCTGCAAAATGTGGTAAACAAATATGTTGGAGAATAAAAAACATAAGTGTGTGATAAAAGGCTTTAAAAAGAGCTTGTGAATTTTACATAAAAGCTAGGGATTGATATTAACTTTCTAATCAATTTTTGTTAGGTTACAATTGAAATATTGCATTCAGTCTGGATACCTCATTTTAACTGCAGCGAAAAAAGAATCTTTATTCTTCATTTGTTGCTAAAAGTCCTAAGAGTCAAGTTACTTTGTGTTTTTGTTTTCTTAGGATATTTATTCTTTGCTGAAACATGCTTTATCTATGTAACTGCTGTACTTGTATCTAATCTTTAGCCTTACCCTGTATGGTACTGTAATAATCTGAAATATGATGGTCTGGGCTCCAAGTTGAATTTCATTAAGTAACCCTGTGAATGAACCAAACAGCAAATGAAAATTAAATGATTACAGAGACTGGAGGTGAAATAAAACAGAAAATTCTGGCATTATTCAGCAGATCTGACTGGGGCTCCTGTGGAGAAAAATAATTAATACATGTTTGAGGTCACCTTATCCAGAATTGAAATCAATCTTTACCGAAGGAAATAATTATTAAGATAGAATGATCTTCCATATGCAGCTGCTGCTGTAAATCTATCCCCCTAACTGGATACTAGAACATAGAACGTAGAACATAGAACATTACAGCGCAGTGCAGGCCCTTCGGCCCTCGATGTTGCGCCGACCTGTGGAACCAATCTGAAGCCCATCTAACCTAACCTATTCCATTATCATCCATATGTTTATCCAATGACCATTTAAATGCCCTTAAAGTTGGCCGGTCAACTACTTTTGCAGGCAGGGCATTCCACGCCCTTACTACTCTCTGAGTAAAGAACCCACCTCTGACATCTGTCCATATATATATCACCCCTCAATTTAAAGCTATGTCCCCTCGTGCTAGCCACCATCCGAGGAAAAAGGCTTCCACTGTCCACCCTATCTAATCCTCTGATCATCTTGTATGTCTCTATTAAGTCACCTCTTAACCTTCTTCTCTCTAACGAAAACAGCCTCAAGTCCCTCAGCCTTTCCTCATAAGACTGCTGTACATTTCTACTGCGGTTCTCCAGGCATGGCATTCATAGGAAATGCACCAGTGCTGTGCCCACAGCAGGTTCGAGTTGGCACAAGATATGGTCAACTTTTTCCAGCACTAACTTTATGGTAGGTTTAAAGGTCGAGTTTGAATGTCAGTGAACGGAGGGAGTGGGTGAGTGAGTGACTAGCTAAGTAGATGGGTTACTGGGACAGTGAGTCGGGGGGAGTAGGCAGGTGAGGTGGTCAAATGGGTAATGGTGTAGGTGGGTGAGATAGATGAGGTGAATGATGTTCTTTAGTGCCTAAATGGCAAGGTGGTGGAAGTCGATAAGCAGTTAGAGATTGATGGGTAGTCAGGTTCAGGGTGTTAGTCAGGTCGGATCAAGGTTAGTTGGGTGGTGTTGGGAGGGTAACCAGATGTTCGAGAGGGTTACTCTTAGGTCAGGCATTGAGTCAAATTGAGAATGCAGTCAAGTGGAATGGATAGTCATAGAGAATCATAGGATCCCACCAGTGTGGAACCAAGCCATTCAGCCCATTGAGTTCACACTGACCCTCTGAAGACCATCCCACCCAAACCCAATGCCCTGCCCCTGTAACCCTGCATTCCTCATGGCCAACCCACCTAACCTGTCCATCCCTGAGCACTATGGGGCAATTTAGCATGGCCAATCCACCCTAAACTGCACATCTTTAGATTGTGAGAGGAAACCAGAGCACCTGGAGGAAACCCACGCAGACACGGGGAGAATGTGCAAACTCCACACAGACAGTCACCTGAGAGTGGAATCAGACCTGGACCCTGGTGCTCAGCTAAATAAAGAACTGACCCTCACTCTCTGGTGCCATCATCTGAAAAGAATTGTTTATTTAAGATTTATTCGATTTAAGATGGTCGCAATCCAGAATATAGTGCAGAGCAGTAACATAGGAAACAAAATTGGGTTATTAAGAGTGTTAGCACTCTTAGCTTTAACCAGTTCATCTTGAGGTTCTATATCATGTCCCCCATTGTCTAAAGGTGGTAAGAAATTGAGGATTAGTCAATTTTGACCAAGTGAGTAAACCAGCCACGAAACACTGGTAGAGGTAACCAGTTTGCAATGAGGTTACATGAATTATTAGACACACTAATTATTTGATCATATCACCAACTCATATCAAACATAGCTTTTAATGTTTGGTCTGGTCTTACAATTTGGAAAGTGATGGCATAATAGAATTCTTGACTTTCCAAATAAATGCTGAGGGATGTACAAGATTGGATAGGAATAATGGGAAGCTTATGGCAGATACCAAGGGCTCAAAACAACAGAAGCTTTTGAGTAGTATAGAAAGTGTGAGGGGTTGATTATAAAGGAAATTATATCAAGAAATTGAATGAAGGGACGAGAAAACAGGTAAAATCCCAAAGTGTTTTATAAATACATTGGGGCAAGGGGACCATTAGAGCAAGAGTAGACACCTTTAGAGACCAAAATGGTAATCTGTGTGGGGGATCTGGAAGATGCAGATGAGATTATAAATGAGTATTTTGCAGTTGTATTCACTACTAAAAAGGATGATGTAGGTGTAGAAATTAGGGAGGCATACTTGAACAAATTACCATTGAGAGAGAGGAGATATTAGCAGACTTTAAACTGGTTAAATCCCCAGGTTTGGATGAGATGTTGTTGTGGAAGGCAAGGAAGGAGATTGCTGGGGCTCTGATGTTAATTTTCGAATCCTCTTTGGCCAGAGGAGGAGGATCAGTGGACTGGAGGGCAGCTAATTATTCATGAAGGGTGCAAGGGATAAAACAGAAAACTACAGACCAGTGAGTTTAACATTAGTCGGAGGGAAACTATTGGAAAGAATTCTGAGGAAGAGAATTAATCTTCACTTGGAGAGGTGAGGATTAATCAGGAATAGCCAGTATGGTTTTGTCGAGGGGAGATCACGTCTAACAGATCTGACTGAGTTTTTTGAGGTTGCCCAGTGTAAGTAGATGAAGGTAGTCAGTTGATAAATGGACCCCAGTGAATCAATCGACAAGGGCAAGGTGCATATTAATGATCTGGATATGACTGGAGGAGGTATAGTCAGTAAGTTCACAGATGACATGAAGGTTAGTGACGTGGTAAATAGGGAGGAGGAAAGCCATAGACGACAGGACAAGACAGACTGCTCAGATGCAGAACAGTACAAATGGAATTTAATTTGAGATAGGTACATTTTTAGAATTTAAAGGCATTAAGAGGTTTGATGAGAAAGCAGGAATTTGACATTGAGATCGAGTATCAGCCATGATCATATTGAAGGGGGGGGAGAAGGCTCAAAGGGCAGAATGGTCTGTTCCTGCTCTTGATTTTGATGTTACTTTGTCTCTGATTCTGAAACGTACACGGTGATATATTGTGGGAGGACTAACATGGCAATAAAATACGCAATGAATGGTAGAACACAAGGAATTTCAGAGAATCAGAGGGACCTTGGTGTGTATGTCCATAAGTCTTTGAAGGCAACAGGACAGGGAGAGAAGGTGGTTCAGAGGTCCACTGAAATTTTTGCCTTCATTAGTCAAGACATTCATTGCAGAGCAGGGACCTTATGATGTAGTTGTATTTAGTATTGGTTAGGCCACAGCTGGAGGACTGTATGCAGTTCTGTTCTAGGAAGGATGCGATTGTACTGGAGAGGGTGCCAAGGAGACTCAATGGGATTTGGCCTGGGCAGGAGTGGTTCAGTAATGTAAAGAGACAAGATAGTCTGGGGTTGTCTTCCTTAAAGCAAAGAAGTCTGAGATGGGATCTGAATGAGGTGTACAAAATCATCAGGGGCAGGGATAGGATCAAGGGGAAGAAATTTTTCTCCTTTGTAATGGGGTCCTCTAGGGGAACAGATTTAAGATGAAGAGGTTTAGGGGCATTTTATGGGAAAACCAGAGGATGGGAGCATCTGGAAGTCAGTGCCTGTAAGGGTGGTACAAGTGGGAACTTTCTCAACATTGAGGAAGTATTTTAGTGATCACGTGAAATTCTAAACAGGTCGGCACAACATCGAGGGCCGAAGGGCCTGTACTGCGCTGTACTGTTCTATGTTCTATGTTCTATAACGAACATAGCTACAGGCTAAGTGCTAGAAAATGGGATTAGAGTGGATAGGTGCTTTCTGACCAGTGTGGACATGATGGGCTGAAGGGTGTCTTTCCATGTTGTAAAACTCTTTGTGATTCCCATTGTCCTAATGAGTTCAGTGGCATTAAACTCCATACCATTTTGTTTGTACCTTGGACCATTCCAGTATCTATCACGAAGATAGATTCCATCAATGAGACATTGTGTGATTTCACAGCTGCAGTTCAATCTTCAGTCTCTGGTTATTTACCTTCAACTGATGTAGATGTTCTATGCTTTGCTCTAGGTGTTAATTTGCTGTGATCTATCGTTTTGTACAGCGATAAATGCGAGGAATTGTGATTCAACTGTAGCAGAGACAGAATTTATCTTGTGATTTCAGGAAAAGGGTGAGAATGATTCAGTGGCACACCTTACATCCCCATGAGTAAAGACAATTGTGTGAATTGACTCATGCCTAGTTTATAATTCCGATTGAGTTAAAGTTCACCCACTGTCTTCATATTGCACGTGTCTATGAACCATTGTAAACCTCTCTGCCATTAGGAGAGGAGCGGCCTATCTTTGCTGCACCCATTTGCTGTATATTTTGATCACCAGCTTCTTTTAGTATGTCACTGACAGAGCAACACTGGAAGCAGTGAGAAAGTTTATTTACCGACAAGGAACGTTCCGATATGAAATGCCCACCATTCAATACAGAGCATGAACAGGCTGGGAATTGCCAGTCGTGTAAAGTTGCCCCATTCCTGCAAGCCTTCAGTGGACCAACCTGCAGAGAAAACAAAACAAACAAATTACTAACACATTACAGAACATGTATAGAAAGTCCGGAAGAAAGAACAGACTGAAATGCATTCGTATTATCCAGATCACCTCCTCTTTCAACCTGGAGCAGGGTTTTTCCCTCAGTTCTTTGTCTAGTTATCTATCATCCATTTCACACCATGACCCAAAGTGTAAGTGACCCTCCCTGAAACCTACCTGCCCAGGTCTGAACATGCAACTTTTTCCATCGAATGTATCCAAACAGGAGGAGAAGCTGAAAGTACTGGGAAGCAACATTGGCAGCAGCTGAGCCCCTGGAATACAAGCCTGGATATTAAATGTGGCTTCAGATAACTCCTAGGTTACTGTTCATTTACCAGAACTTGTATTCAATTATACATTCATCATTTTAGAATATTTAAGGTTGTTTACTACTTACGGCAATCCCAGTGTCAGCACGTAGAGGAAGAGGTAATTGATAACAGCATTGAAGATGTTGGTGATGAAACCAATAAAAACCTGAGGCATGATGATCCCCTGAGGTGGGAATAAAACAATAAAGTCAATCCTGGCATCAATTAGCCAACAGGGAATGTGGCATAGTACCGACTCTGTTCTGAGGAGGGGTCACTGGACCCAAAACATTAACTCTGATTTCTCTCCACAGATGCTGCCAGACCTGCTGAGCTTTTCCAGCAATTTCTGTTTTTGTTTGTGAAGAAGATTAGTGAACCTGAGAACAGAATAAAAGAAGGCTGCTCATCATCCCAGCAGAGCAAGTGTGAATGATGGTGTTAACAATCAAATGCTGCCTCCTAGCATTTGTCTGGAGAGCGACAGACTAACATGAAAAGCAAAAGGGCACTGCTGTAATTTCCACACATTCACAGATTGGGTGATAACTTAACAAAGCAGACCACTAGCCCAGTATAGAGAGCACCTGATTTCACCCTTTTGATTTCAGTGGCTTGAAAACTGGATGATTCTGCATTGGTGACAACTTCACCAGATTAGCATGCAGGCACTGAAGGTAGAAATGATCCCCACTTGATCCCTTTGGGTTAAAAAAACTTGTTTCATTCGTATCCCCACAAAGAACAGTTGAGGTGAACAGCATTAGCTCATTTAAGACAAAACTAAATAAGCACATAGGGCAGAAGGAAATGGAGTAGCATATTGATGAAGTTAAATAAAAAATGGTGGGAGGAGACTCATGTTGAATACAAACACCAGTATAGATCTATTGGGCCGAATGGCCTGTTTCCACTTTGTAATTCCAGCCAAATCTTCCAAATGAATATTTTGTAATTTCCAATTGCAGTTGACCATCAAAATAAGGAACATGAAATTGACAACTCCCGACAATATCTTATTGTAAAAATAAAAATAATATTTTATTGAATCTCATGCACACTCCAACATTCAGTGACTTTACCTGGTTCTGAAGGTATCTGATCTCTAGGTCATAAAGAAATGCTGCCTAAGAGAGAATATTGAAAATAATTAGGAGCAGCAGACAGTAAATCAACCACTGCTGAAACAGAAGAAGAAATTGCATTCATATAGCCCTTAAAATGTTCGAACATGACTAGAGACAACTTACTCAGATGCTAACCCTAACCTAACCTAACCCTCCCTCTACTGATCCCTTCTCCCGCTTCCAACACACCCCCTCCTCCTGGACACCACCCCAAGGCCTCCTACCCTCCCTCGACCTCTTCATCTCCAACTGCTTTCGAGACATCAATCACCTCAACCTCTCCACCCCTCTCACCCACTCCAACCTCTCCCCCGCAGAACGTGCAGCCCTCTGCTCCCTCCGCTCCAATCCCAACCTCACCATAAAACCCGCGGACAAGGGAGGCGCAGTTGTAGTATGGCGCACTGACCTCTACATCACCAAGGCCAGGCGCCAACTCTCCGACACCACCTCCTACCGCCCCTTTGATCATGACCCCACCCCTGAGCACCAAACCATCATCTCCCAAACCATCCACAACCTCATCATTTCAGGTGACCCCCCACCCACGGCCTCCAACCTCATCGTTCCCCAACCCCGCACTGCCCGCTTCTATCTCCTTCCCAAAATCCACAAACCTGAATGCCCTGGTCGACCCATGGTCTCCGCCTGCTCCTGCCCCACCGAACTGATCTCCAACTATCTGGACTCCATTTTCTCCCCCTTGGTCCAGGAACTCCCTACCTATGTCCGTGACACCACCCACGCCCTCCACCTCCTCCAGAACTTCCAATTCCCTGGTCCCCAACACCTCATCTTTACCATGGACGTCCAGTCCCTCTACACCTGCATTCCCCATGCAGATGGCCTAAAGGCCCTCCGCTTCTTCCTGTCCCGCAGGCCCGACCAGTCCCCCTCATCCGCTTAGCCGAACTTGTCCTCACCCTCAACAACTTCTCTTTCAATTCCTCCCACTTCCTACAGACAAAGGGGGTAGCCATGGGTACCCGCATGGGCCCAAGCTACGCCTGCCTCTTTGTAGGTTACGTGGAACAATCCCTCTTCCGTACTTACACCGGCCCTAAACCCCACCTCTTCCTCCGTTATATTGATGACTGTATCGGCGCCGCCTCGTGCTCCCACGAGGAGCTCGAACAGTTCATCCACTTCACCAACACCTTCCACCCCAACCTTAAGTTGACCTGGACCATCTCTAATACCTCTCTCCCCTTCCTGGACCTCTCTGTCTCCATATCGGGCAACCACCTAGAAACCGATATTCATTTCAAGCCCACCGACTCCCACAGCTACCCAGAATACTCCTCCTCCCACCCACCACCTTGTTCAAAAAGCACACAATTTGTGAACACAGTCAGTCAGTGGGACATTTTCTAAATTCCTGCTTTGGAAATAAAACCACTCTGACTCCATGTTCAAACACAGACAGTTTCTAAACAAGGCCTCACACCGGGAGACGTTGTATTCATTGATAAAACCTTTAGTTATCTCGGGACATTGACTTGAAAGAGATTCAGAGAGCTGCATATTAATCAATTGAAACCTGCATCTCCTTTCTAACTGATTAAGGATTTAACAGGAGGGAATCAGCCAGCCAATTTCGGGTTATTAAATACATTTCCATCAGTGGTATAATCGTTTGATTTTTTTACTTATAAATTCTGTGTCTTGCTACTTCCTCTCTCATTACACCTGAGGAAGGGACAACACTCTGAAAGCTCGTGTATTCAATTAAACCTGTTGGACTATGACTTGGCATCGTTTGATTCTTGATCCAGTCAAGAATGTCATGGAAAACTTTCCAATTACTGGAAAAGCAGAGCTCCAACACTCAAGAAGCATGATACTATCCAGGATAAAGCTAACTGCCTGTTCGGCGTCTTTTCCACCATTTTTAATGTTCTCTTCCTCCACTACTGTGCACAGCAGCAGCAGTGTGTACCAGCTACAAAATGTACAGTAGCAAATTATCAAGGCTCCTTTGACAGCGCCTGCATCCAGAAGGATAAGGACCACAGACACAAGGGAAAACATCTGCACATTCCCTCCCAAAGCATTCTTACCAAGGTCTCACCTTCACAGGCTCAAAGTTCTGGAACAAACTTCCCGGCAACACTCTGAACGTACCTAGCACCACATGAACAGCAGTGGATCAAGGCTGTGCTCACCATCACCTTCTCAAGGGCAATTAGGGATGATTGTAAATGCTGGGTTCATATCACATTAAAGGACAAAATCTGAACAATTTCAACAAAAGGGTAAAGTAGCAATTTTTCTCAATAGTCTTTGTAGAAATTGCCTGCTCTGTTACCTACGTTGAAAATTAAAGTACACTTCAAAAGCGCTTCTTGATCAGAGCATTTTGATGGATTTATCAAGTCATTCACAGGTGGATCCACTGCAAATTTTTCAGGCTGAATTCTTTTGGTCTGTCTACATAGCAACTGATGAATGACTTCATTCGATTAACAGTCTGTCTGCATGCATCAATGCTACCTACAATAATTTACTTACAGGAAGAGCAGGAATAAATATCTTCACATAGAGTTGTGTTAACCTGCAGGAAAAAGATACAATGCTGTTAATAACAGGGAAACCAGAGAACGTCACTACCTGAACACAAAGGTTAACCCAAACTGCAGTTGGAAAGATATACAATGCAGTGAATTACAAACATGCCACACCATGCAGATAGTTAGGTGGTTGTTTTCCACTGGTGCAGATGTGATGGGTAAAAGGGCCATTTTCTGTGCTATCGGTCTCTGTGACTCTATGAAAGCTGGTGTTTAAGACCTAACATATCACAAAGTCAATCGAATTTATGTGGGAATGCGACATAAAAAATACATTGTATTGTATAATTGCTCGCCCCAGGTAACTCTGATGTTTCTACTAATTTCTGGTCTGGTACAACATTCATGCAGGCAAGAAATCAACATTTATTTTGCTGTCTCATTGATATATGTTAGGAATAGAGCTCCCTTTCAATGTGGTTACCCAGTGCACTTGTAAGTTGGAATAAAAATGCAAAAGGAAATTGACAAGGTTCTCACTTGGCGACTGCAGGAGATTGTTTGACAGCCAATAAAATGTGCTCAATGTTTATGAAGAGAGCCCAGCAGGGAAAGCAGGCGATCAGGAGAATGAGGATCCCTCATTGGAGAATCACTCCAATTTGCTTCGGGTTCTTACTGCCATACGTCTG